TCTGTCTATCTATCTATCTATCTATCTATCTATCTATCTATCTATCTGTCTATCTATCTATCTATCTATCATCTATCTATCTGTCTATCTATCTAATCTTTATTTATTTATTTTGTTTGTTTGTTTGTTTGCTTCTTTTTAAACCTCAGAAATGATTATTTATTTATTTACTTTTTATTTTAACCTCAGAAATGTTTTGTGGCAGTTGTGTGTGTGTGTGTTTGTTTGTTTCATTTTTAACTTTAGAAACTTTTGTCAAAATGTTTATTTATTGATTTATTTATGTTTCATTTTTAACCTCAGGAATGTTTTGTGGCAGTTTGTGTGTGTTTGTTTCATTTTTAACATTTGTCAAAATGTTTTATTTATTATTATTTATTTATTTATTTGTTTGTTTGTTTGTTTGTTTCATTTTTAACCTCAGGAATGTTTTGTGGCAGTTTGTGTGTGTTTGTTTCATTTTTAACATTTGTCAAAATGTTTTATTTATTATTATTTATTTATTTATTTGTTTGTTTGTTTGTTTGTTTCATTTTTAACCTCAGGAATGTTTGGTTGTGTTTATTTATTGATTTATTTATGTTTAATTTTTAACCTCAGGAATGTTTTGTGGCAGTTTGTGTGTGTTTGTTTGTTTCATTTTTATCTTTTGTCAAAATGTTTTATTTATTATTATTATTATTATTTATTTATTTGTTTGTTTGTTTCATTTTTAACCTCAGGAATGTTTGGTTGTGTTTATTTATTGATTTATTTATGTTTAATTTTTAACCTCAGGAATGTTTTGTGGCAGTTTGTGTGTGTTTGTTTGTTTCATTTTTATCTTTTGTCAAAATGTTTTATTTATTATTATTATTATTATTTATTTATTTGTTTGTTTGTTTCATTTTTAACCTAAGGAATGTTTTGTGCAAAAGGTTTATTTTTATTTATTTGATTTTAACCTCAGAAACATTATATGCAAAAAAAAAGAGGTTTATTTATACATTTATTTACTTATTTAATTTTTAACATCAGGAACATTTTGTGCAAAAAAAAGGTTTGTTTATTTATTTACTTACTTTTTAACCTTAGGAACGTTTTGTGCCAAAAATATAATGTATGTATGTATTTTTTTTTAATTAACTTAAAATAATGTAATATTCATTCATTTTTCATTAAATTATTAATCTCAGGTACATTTTGTGCCAAAAGCTCAGTATTATGTATTTACTTACTTGCTTATCCTAGAGAATTCTTTATTTTATTTGATTATTTTTTGTGTGTGTGCCAAAAAGGTTCATTGTTTTTTGGAACTGCGTAAAGAACCCTAATTTGGAAGAGTTTTTATACATGGACGGTCTACTGAAGCTGATCGCACTCTCGGTGAGGACCGTTGTTTCGAATGACGTCTAATTAATGAGAATTAAGGTCCTCGGTATTAAACACACACTTGCCTTCCTGTCATCTCTGATGTAGCTCTGATAACAAGAGCAGCTCTGCTACATCCTCCAGCAGTCAGTCATTCAGAGAATCAGACGTCTGCTGTCAGCAAGAACCTGCTCAAAATCTCATGCCCTCTAGTTCAACATTTTAACCGGATATCATTGTGTTGGACAGCTCAGTGTGTTATTATGATTCGTGAGTTCAGGTGTCTTGTTAAATGAACAGCATTTTTCTCACAAAAGCCAAACATCTATTCATTCTCAGAATTGTTGGGGGCAGCGCAAATGTTTGCTTCCTTTGTCTTACGCCTACAGACACAAACATTTCTTGCTATTGTGTCAGTGCTGCTATTCACCAGAAAAAGTGAATTGCAGCTGCGGAAGACACAATACTTATATAACTCACAAGACAACCAGTTATAGCAGAAATATGATCAAAAATGATATTAATGAAAATATTTACAAAATAAATCAATAAACTAAATCAATTATTGCCATTCCCATTATCAAACTGATCATTACATTATATTGCTAAATAAAGTGAATTAATTCTTCATAGCAGATGGTAGATTATTTCGGCGGGTTGTTTAGTACCCCCCTCTCTTTGTGCCCCTCTTATGCCCTCTGTGCCTCGCACGCCCACGCAGCGCCATGTTGGGATGGGTTCACAGCCCATTTTATTTGCGTTGGCTTTGGTGTTGCGTGGGGGTTTGGTGACCCCTGCACAGGACGATTAATCAAACGTCACTCTGTGATTTCTCCAAAACTCATTATTCCTTTTTTATAACACAGCACGCCTCTCTCAAATGCAGTTTTTCGATAAATCACCCCTTTAGGTCTGTACACACTTCCATCTGTATCTTTTTACTTATTGAATCTAGCCAAAGAAATCCATTTCAAGTTTTAATAACTGACCATTTACATCATCAGTTGTTTTATTCACAAAGAAAGAGACACTTGATTTTCTTCAATTCGAAAATGAGCATTTCAAAGTTTGGTCAGATTTTGTGAAATATTATTTCCATTTTTTTTTTCTATCTTATGTATTTTAAAATGTATTCCTGTGATGCAAAGCTGAATTTTCAACAGTCTTCAGTGTCACACGATCCTTCAGAAATAATTCTAATATGCTGATTTGATCATTGATAATATTATCAATGTTAAAAACAGCTGTGCTGCTTAAAATTTTTGATGGAACCATGATATATATATATATATCTATTTTTAGGATTCCTGGTGAATAGAAAGTTCAAAAGAACAACATTTATTAGAAACAGAAATCTCTTGTAATGTTATAAATGTCTTTTACTGTCACCTTTTGATAGTTCTAGCTGAATAGAATTATTCATTCATTTAAAAAAAAAAAAAAGTACTGACCCTAAACTTTTAAACGTATATCTTTCAGAAAAAATGAAATCCAGATCGTTTTGAATTCTCAGGGAAAAAAAACAACAGTTCTCACACCCATACACTCCTTCAGCACTGCACAATTCAACTGAGAGTTTAACGCTTACCATTCCTGACGGCTGCATTCTGCTGAACGCGTGTTTGGTTTTCATGAGCATTGAGCTTTTCTCTTGTCTGGGTTCTTCACGGCTTTCTTCTGCTGTTCGCCCAAACACAGCCGACACTGATAACATATAGTCCTCTACATCTCTCAGAGGAGCTTCATATGTGCTCAGAAACCAACCAAAACACCGGACAATGCACTTGTTCCCACCTCCAAACACATTCACAATTGGAGCTGGTATGGTAATGAGAGAGATTTGGGGAGGCCAGCGGATCGGGCCAGAGAGCACCTCTTTGAGTCGGGATGGGGGGCGGCGTAGGTGTGAGGGTTTGGTTTAAGCGTGTTACTCTCGTCCGAACAGCTGACCCTCAAGTGATGGGGTCCAGAGCAACAGCACACCAGCTAAGATTTTTCGGTTCTTAGGAATGTTCCGATTCCGTCTTCCGATTCCCGGAATGTTCTGAGAACATGTTTTGGAGGTTTGTATTTGTTTAGCCAGTAAAGTTATCTATATGGAAATAGAACGTTCTTTTTAGGTTGTCAGAACGTTAGAAGAGCATTCTATGTTTGCTGGGAACAACCCAGATTACTACACCATTGTCTTACTTTTCAGTTTTGATCACTTTTTCACACTTTTGATGTAAACGCCTGACTGAACACTGATAATTACATAAAAAAGCCCTAATTTAGTCTAATTCAAACCTCAAACGTCAGCCTAATCTATTGATTTACTTCCCTGCATTTTTATTATCATGCGTTTTTATAGTAAGTGTAATTGGTTTGGGCAAACATTGTCAGGGCTGAATGTTACACAAACGGTTTCACTGCAGACTGGTCATTAAGATTTTGGCTGATGTTTCAGAGTCGCCTTCCAACAGAACCAAAAAGAACCGCTTACATGCCTAGAGCTCGAGATGATACAGCAACTAAAAGACTGTTAATCCACTGCCAGAGAACAAGGGACAGTCTGTAATTAACAATTAGGAAATGAAGCAATACATATGATTAGTCTCGTGTGAAACTGTGCTAATGTCACTACTATAGCAGAAGCATTAGTTGTTTAAACTGGGTGTGCAAGAGATTGTATGTAATTTATTTAGTGTCAGTCTGTATAAAATATGTAGATACTCATATGTAATGTACTTGAGTGTAAATGTATATAAATGTTTAACAGTTTTGTTATAAAAGCAGAAGGGTGACTGAAGGAAATAAGACAGTTTATGTAACGTGTCATTTGAATTTGAATTAAAAACTACAATTAATAAGATTTATATAAATGTTCATACCCAAAATAATTTATAAAATGTGTTACTTCAGTGTTTTGTATTATAGTATTTATTAATATTTTAATACGCTTTTTTAAAATATATTTTCAGTTTTGATTTTAATTGGACTTTTAGTTTAGTGCTTTTATTAGGTTTTATTTTTATTTTTAGCTTAAATTTATTTTTTATATTTATATATGATTTATATATGTATATGCGTGTGTGTGTGTGTACACTCTAAAAAATGCTGGGTTGTTTCAACCCAATGTTGGGTCAAATATGGACTAACCCAACTGTTGGGTTAAATTTTGGTTACATTTTTAAATGAGCTTTTTAACCCAACAGTTGGGTTAGTCCATATTTGACCCAACATTGGGTTGAAACAACCCAGCATTTTTTAGAGTGTATATATATATATATATAAAATACAATAAAAATCTATTTTAGTTGTAGTAATTTTAGTACTTCAGCTTCGACTTTTATTTTAGTTAGTAGGCTTTAAATCAATGACAAAAAATAAAAATATATATTTAAATTGTTTTAGTTCACAATGATATATATATATATTGGGCCTCATTGCCGGCTGCAGTCATGTCCTCATTTCATACATAAAACACCTCTGATTCACAAATACTTGCTAAGGAACTCGCATTCACATAAAGTAGCCCTGTTGACAAGTTTGGGTGAGTAAGGGCAAAACGCAGTACTTTCAGTGATCTGTAATAGGCAGTATCACGTCTTTTGTAGCAGAAATAAACTGCCGCAGAAAAAGCTAGGTCCATGCAAAATGTAGTGTATAACTGCAACACTCATTTCAAATGTAGTGGAGTAAAGAGTACAGATGCTCATTCAGAAATGTAGTGGAGTAAAGAGTAAAAGTTGCTAATATCTTTGATACTCGGTACAACTACAAAGTACCCGAAAAGATACTCAAGTACAGTAACTAAGTACATTTACTCCAATACTTTACACCTCTGTTGAATTATGAAAACAGGATATAGATTTTTTTTTTGTAAGTGTTAATACACAAATTTGGCTTTACTGTTTGGAGAAATATGTAATTAATATTTTGTGTAATTATATTGTAATTGTGAAATTGGTCATGACTTTCAGGGGTTGAACAGTTATAATTTAAAATACTTGAATACTAGTTGTGCTATAACTATTATATGTAGTTGTAGCCTACTTATGCTACGAAAAAAAAACATTAAATTAAAATTCATTAAAAAAAACACCAGTAGATGGTGGGTGCTAAAGCTCAATGCCAGCACAAAATGAGCACAAAATGACGTGTTAACGCATTAGTACCACACGTTTTGGCCCTAACGGCCTTCCATAGTATGCAATTGTGTGTTAACGTGTAATTACGTATTAGTACCACACACTTTGGCCCTGACGGCCTTCCATAGATAAGAGATCCTTGACGTGTCTGTGTTGTCCAGCAGGTGGCGGCAAACACTGTGAAGTCACTCAAACACGTGTCGCGTCACCACAAAGCGCTCGTGAAGTTGCGCGAGGTGCTCAGTCACCGCTGCTGTTTGTCGTGAGGTAAACATTGTGAAATCTGTCTGTCTGCTGGGTGAAATACAAATGGAAGTAATGGACAGCCCTCTAAATCGTGTAAGTGATTTTTTTAAATCACAGTATAATATAAAATGTTCTGGCAACCTGTGGTTACTTGAGCTGTTACAAGTCTTTCTGTTGTGGCTTTACGTATTTAAACTTGTAAATAGCCATGCTAAATGTATTGTGATTACCAAATGTTAATTGGTCAGGCCCTTATGTCTAAATAAATATATAAATAAAGCTACATTTATACATATAACCCTCCCCTCCAAAAAAGATATTTAACAAATATTTCTCATAACCAAAATCATAACTGCCTTGCAGGATTTTATCTTAAGAATTATGAAATGTAATAACTGGCACGTGCTATTTTGGATTTCATGTTCATGGTATTAGTCACTGTTTTGAGTTGTAATGATTTTAATCCTATAACTGTGTTTCCCCAGAAAGCATGACAGTTGTTTTTCCACAGGCCCATCATTTTGGCCGAAAGGCAGATCAGTTGGTGGCAAAGGAAAAATTTGAAGAGGCAATTTTATGCCATAGTAAAGCAGCAGGTAAATCAGCGAAGCCCCTTTTGTTCTCTTAAGAGCAAGCACACATGAAGAATTGGGATGGCATGAAGATAAATGTGTGAGTGAATGAATCTGTATTTGTTTCTTTCTGCTCAGAGCTGATGAAAGAGGCCTTGTCAGTGACACAGAGTGAACAGGTAAAACAGCATGTGTCTGACAGACAGGTGTGACTCTATTCCAGCAGTCTGGCACGTCTGAATCATAGGCCAAGCTTTTGAGTAGTGTACTTCTTTTTCAAATATTTGATTTAAAGCTTTTCCCATTTTAGAGAACAATCCTCCAGCCCTCATGCCAGCAAATCTAAGGAGAAAAAAAAGAAAAAGTATAATGTAATGATACATGCCGAGTAGTGTACATTTTAATATTCATATACAAAGTGGAAGCGATTTTAAAGGGGTCATATGATGCGATTTCAATTTTTGCTTTCTCTTTGGAGTGTTACAAGCTCTTGGTGCACAAAGAAGATCTGTAAAGTTGCAAAGACTAAAGTCTCAAATCCAAAGAGATATTCTTTATAAAAGTTAAGAGTCAGCCACACCTACCTAAAACGGCTCGTTCTAACACGCCCCCACATATCTACGTCACTATCTGGGAAGATTTGCATAACGGCGCCCAAATGTTCACGCAAAGAAAGAAGGCGTAACTTTGATTCTCGCTGTAGTATTGTTGCCGCCGCCATGTCGTGAAGGCGCTGTGTGTTTCGTTGTGAAAGCGAAACTACTTTGTTTGGCCTTCCAAAAGAGGACGATATCCGCTTCGTCATGCCTGGAGCTGATCCATGCTGGTCGCTGAGGGAATACTACAACTTCACACTGTGGATCGTTGGATCGGCTTTCACCGTTAACGTAGCGGAGTCCAGCCCGGGGTCGTCACATGTGGTTGCCTTCGTTGAATCCGCCGGCCGTGCAGTTCTCAAGCCCGCAGTGCGTGACGCTGTGTGACGCATTTTATGGAGGACTGTTTCCTGAACCTGCAGTTCTGCAGAGCCTACAATGGGTCTTTAGCAACGTCATATGACCCCTTGTGGACGTAGCGGAGTCCAGCCCGGGGTCGTCACATGTGGTTGCCTTCGTTGAATCCGCCGGCCGTGCAGTTCTCAAGCCTGCAGTGCGTGACGCTGTGTGACGCATTTTATGGAGGACTGTTTCCTGAACCTGCAGTTCTGCAGAGCCTACAATGGGTCTTTAGCAACGTCATATGACCCCTTTAAAAGGGCCAAAATGGAATCGGGAGAATGTTTAAAAAAAAAAAATTCTGACAAATTTAAGAAAAAATATACAGAATGGATTTAGATAAGGTAAATTGCTGTAAATATGTTTCAGATTCTACTTACAGTACAAAGATTGTGCATGAATTGCAAAGATGTATTCTGACATTCAAAAGTTTGGTGTCTGAAATTTTTTGTTTGTTTGAAGGAAGTCTCTTATTCTCACCAAAGGTGCGTTTATTTGACCAGTAATTTATTCCTGTGATGCAAAAAGCTATGTTTTTCAGTATCATTACTCCAGTCTTCAGTGTCTGGATCTGCTGCTCAAGAAACGTTTCTTATTTTTTGTTTGTTTGAAGGAAGTCTCTTATTCTCACCAAAGGTGCGTTTATTTGACCAGAAACAGTAAAACAGTAATATTGTTTTGAATATTATTACAATTTAAAATGACTGTTTTCTGTTTCAATATGATTTCAAATGTAATTTATTCCTGTGATGCAAAAAGCTCTGTTTTTCAGTATCATTACTCCAGTCTTCAGTGTCTGGATCTGCTGCTCAAGAAACATTTCTTATTATCAATCTTGAAAAGAATCTGAAACATTTTTTTAGGATTCTTTGATGAATAGAAAGTTCAAAAGAACAGCATTCATTCATTCATTTATGCCTTGTAAAAAAAAATTTTTACTGTCCTTTTTTATCAATATAATGCATCTTTGCTGAATAAAAAACTGTCCAGCTTCCTGGTACAAATACGTAACGTACAGGTGTAAAATGCTACTTTGAAGTGACCAAAGTAAGAATCCGTATTTTAACCAAAAATGTTGTTTATTAGTAAATATCAACATCATATCAACATAACCTGAAAAGCCTTAATGGAGAAAAGGGGAAAAAAATGAGTATTCTAAAATCGCATTTGTGTTTATTAATTTTTCAATTAATCTGAACAGTCAAATAATACATAAAACCTGCAGGCAGCTGTTGTCATCTTTAAGGATGTTGCCTACAGTAATAACTATTGTGAATGAAAAGGAACACTTGTTCTTTTATGTAAAGTACACATTTGTACTTTCAGAAAAGCACAGCCAACATTTGAACCATTATCACATTTTCTATCAAGGTACGACTGTCTTTAGAGCTGCAGAGAGATAGACATCTCCAACAGCAGCGACTGATCAAGATGAGCCGCAAACAGACTAAACTCAAAGAAAAGGTCCTGGTCAGCCTGATAACAGACTGCACCAGTCCAACAGCCCTCCAAAGTCCTCCACTCGGCTGGAAGGCTGCCAAAGACGACAAGACTCGGCTGGAAGAGCAGAGCACTGCCATCGCTGACCTGTGGAAGCTTGTGGCGGTTCTGCTGCTGGAGAACAAGCGGTTGCTGGAGGAGCATGAGAAACTGAAGGCGGAGAATGCTAGTCTGAAGAGAGACCTGTATGAGGAGCATCAGAGTCCTCCGGCTTCTCTAGATCAGCCTTCACCGCTGGGCATGAAGCTCCTGCATGTGCCTCCTGACCTCCAGCAGGAGATCCAGCTGCTGCTGAAGACGGCAAATGACAGCTAGACCTGCATCCACCTACAGCACCACTCAAAAGATTGGAGAATTACATTTTTTTTGGTCTATTGTCTCTTATGCTGGCTGCATTTATTTGATCAAAGATATAGTACAACAGTAAAAGGGAAATAATATTACTATTTAAAACAAGTTTTTTTATATTAATGTATTTTAAAATGTAATTCATTCCTGTGATGGTAACGCTCAACTTGCTTAACCCGAACTGTTGGATGGTGTCTTGGTTTCCACAAATATTAAGCAACAAAATCATTTTTTAAGATTAATAATAATAATAAGAAATGTTTCTTTCTGAAGGATCATGTGACACTTAATACTGGAATAATGATGCTGAAAATGCAGCTTTGCGTCAGAAAAATGTTACATTTTAGAATATATTCAAATACAAAACATTCTTTTAAATGGTAATATTTCACAATATTACTGCAGTTTGTTTTTTTATCAAATAAATGCAGCCTTGAAGAAACTTCTTTCAAAAACAACCAAACAAAAAAATCTTAATTATTCCAACTTTTGACTTTACTGTGTTTACTGTAGAATCAACTGCCTATATTGGGTCAAAGTACCCAATTACATTTTAAATACATGCTCCTAGTCTTACTAAACATGCATTAATAAAAATAATAAATTAATAAATCAGGAAAGACTTTTTCTTGTTCAACACACCCGATCACAGAAGTAAAATGTGCTACTAGTAGGTGATAGTAGTTAAACTACATTTACACTTTATGAAAGTGTTTGTGTAAGTGAAGGGAATCAAGTGAAATGCACTTTTGGATGTTTTTGTAGATGCGCAATGGGTAATATAGTCTCATTAACACAAAGTTGTTAAATTCAGGGTTGTTTTCACCCACAGAACACTGATATTTTGCATCGTTTCTGTTAACGCTTGAAGCTGGTTACAATTCACAGCCATTATATAGACAATATACACAGGCAATTTTCTATTCATTTCTCCTTTTGTGGTCTGAAAAAAGAGAGGGCGCATAGCATTTGACCAACACCAGGTTAAGTAAAAAAAAGAATTGAAGTTTCGATTTCGAGTGAACTATCCCTTTAAATAACCTAGAAAACCAACTAAATCTTTGAATGGATCACGTAAACAGGCATGAGCGACAAATCAATATTGACTATTCCATTTTTAATGGAAAATGTAAAACATCTCTTTAACTTCAATGTACATACAGTAGCAAACAACACAAACAGCAAATAAAGCACACCATGTTATAGAAAATCATAATATATATTTATATATGTATATTCTGCTATTTACATATTACATTTCAGCTGAAAATTTCACAAGATCTTTTTTTTTTTAAACAAACGCAGAATAAACTAATTCTTTAATATTCACCCTCTGCACAGTGAATATTTGCCAAACTGTAAATAATTTAATGTTGCTTAAACATAATAAAACCTGTCCATTTGGCAGCTGCTGATGTGATGGAATGCTGCTATGATTGTGTTGGAATCACTGCTCTCTAAAACGGTCCAAAACACAGCATGACAACATGTTGAACACTTTGCAGTGCAATAACTAGTAATAAAGAACATGTCGTGAATCATTATCGCCTTTGGAAAAACATGTATTTGCCAGTGTCGCTCTTTCTAAAGGTTTTCCATGGTCTTCTGCATGTGCGGCAAGTGGAAGTGATGGGCTTTGAAGTTCATTGCACCTGTTTGGAGAGCACAGTGTACTACTTTTATCTCCGTTTGTTGTGCCTCCACCCCTTACTACGCTTCCTGTCCGTGCAGGAAGACATGATGGGGAAGTTCAAACTAAGAGAATAAAATCAAAGAGAAGACAGTGACATCATAGAGGAAGTCACAGAATCTTGCAGAGTGGCCCATTTTGTTAGAATCACATCTAAGAGATTTCTTGCTGGAGAATCCTGGGATTGTCTTTATGCTCCAAGGGTTTGGACAGAGGAGGAGGAGATGCATTGTCAGGACTCCTCCTGTTTCCCATCGTCTGTGTTCTTCTCCTTCAAATGGTTCCTCAGTGTGGCTACAGCATCTTTCACAGAGTGATAAAAGATGTTCTTCACCTGAACAATCAAGAGGGATGAAAAGATTTTACTTACAGATCTGGCTCATGCCTAATTACACTTGGGATTACAATAAAACATTATAGTATCAACTTAAAGGAATATAAACTGCAATAGCAATTTTTGCAACATCATGCCTTATCACAAAAAAACTGGAATACACTATACGACTTAAAATCTGAACAGAATTTAAAACACTAGGCATCTTACACTTGTCGACTTTTTAAATGGCTAGAGCGGGAAAAAATGGGAATTATACACTAAACGATTGAGGTTCACACACTACCAGATGTTCAAATAGCTCTAAGCACAACAAAATTGCAAGCCTCCACATGTGTCTCATTGTTAGCAGACGCAGGAGAACTGAAAACAATGTGTTCTAAAATCAGTGCAAAATATCAAACATGTGATATCCTCCGACAGGATGAAATCATAGTCTGAAGCTAGAAAATTAAAGTCTGTGTCCATCATACACTATGCAATTTTCTGTGACTCCTACAGACTGTAAATCGAGTCAAAAGACTGGTGTATCCAGCCTTTATTCCAGAGAGTAAAGTAAAAATGCTGTGAGACACAATGCCACACAACAAATCAGAAAGTAATGTTATGTGAAGCGTGATTTTGGGCCAATGAGATTGCACTGTGGGTAGGGTTACCAGCATGATGCAGCAGAAATGGAAACTAAATGATCAACAAAACAGGTCACAGTAGGTAGATGGAGGTACCTGGAGTTTGTCTTCATAGTTCATTTGGTCTTTGAGAGGGCGGAGCTCTTGGGTTAGATAATAGGAGTTGTGCGCATGTTCAGGGGACACAAAATCCACATTCACTTGGATGCAACTGTGCAGATTCATCACCTAAAAACACACAGCATGCATAAATACTGAATACTGAACACCTGGTGGAGTGACAGCTTTAGGAATGCAGTCATCCTTCCCAAGAGCCCAAGACGGATTGCTTTAGGAGGATGTAGCTGGTAATGTGAGTGCGGTAATGTACCTGGTGCAGAGCTCCAGCAGGGATGATGATAGCATCTCCATGGAACTGGAGGAGTGTGCAGCTCTCTATGCCATATTCATCCTGTAGCTTCTGCCTCAGCCTGGGGCTCAGATACCAGCCGCCTTCACGCAGGGGGTCGGAATCACCGTCCCACTCTGAGTCAGAGTCTGCCTCTGGATCCGCTTCAGCCTGCTGCTCAGCAGCGATCTGCAAACACACAGAAGCATAAATATCATATTCTCATTGATGGTGTGGGGGGGGGGGGGTCTAATAAAACAGCAATACGTGCTTAGTGAACTAATTTAATCTAGATGAAATATAAAGCTAATGGATGGTTTTAGGAGCATCGCCAGCGAGAACAACAATGGGCACAAGACAGAGCCTTGTGGCACACAATACTGAACCAGCGCTATATCGGACAACTCATCCCTAACCAGCAATTAAATAAGCTCATATGCTTTACATGATCAAGAAGTGCAGTACCTTTTGTAGAAACTCCTGGATCTTTTTTAGGTCTTTACTCATGTAGATGTGCCACAGAGCACCTGGCGTCTCTTTAGGGTCTTTCAGTCGTTTCTTTACACTCTCATCCAGAACTTCTCCTTCCAAGAGCTTTAGTACCCCTATCACAAAGGGGTTGACAGCCAAATTAATGCACTCTTACACACAAATTATTGCTCACAATGTTCCATAAAAGTTCTTATGGTGGCATTTTAAAGGACACCAATACATTTTTTATTTCAGCAATTTCCAAGAATACTGCTGAGTGGCAAATCTCAAGCCTGAGTCTAGTAAACAAAAAAACATTTTTATTTCCATTAATCAACATTCAAATAGCTTTAAAAGAGGCATTATGGCAGCAATGATCTCACACAAAGTCAATGAATGTATTAATGTAAAACTATTGACTGTTGAGTCATCCTATTTTCAAAATCCATACACAGAATGTCTTTGCATCCAGATCCACCTCTCTAATTTTACTGTTAAATAATGTATATGCAAACCTACTAAGGCAAAATAAATATTTTAGAGGAAAACATCAATGCCACAATATCATGTTTACGTACGAGTACCAGCTTTGGATGAGGCTCCGTTTCCTTTGGCCACCCCGACATATACCAGAATACTCATGGAGTCTGAGATTTCAACATGTAGATTGCTGGTCCCGAAGTCTTGTTCTGGGCATGTTGTTACACCTGAACAAACACTGGAGCATAAGGTCCATTGCATAACAAAGAGCACAACAGCACTGTCAGTAAGTACAGGAAAGAAAGAATACCGTGGGCGCAGCAGAGGCGAGGACCAAGGTCAGGTCGAATGAAGAAGGAGGGCAGATGTGAGGCCAGGTTCAGATGTGCCTCTGGGTCTGTGTACTCTGGTACCGGCAAAGACTTCATCACATCATGATATCTGAGGTGGGTGAAAGCATTACATCATCAAATTCCTTTGTCTCAAAAATATCAGTAAAACCTCATTACACCCCATAAAAGCAATGTGATTTTTTAAAAATGAAAATGTAGAATAGCATTAAACTTATTATAATAATGAGTACAATGGTGTTTACTTTATAATTGTGTGGTTTAAGGTGACTTGATGGCTTAATACAATTTAAGCACTCATTTATAGTGAATTCTTGTTTTTTTTTGTGATTTAAATTTTTTTTGTGATTGTGATTTTTAATTTTTTTTGTGATTTTAATTTTCAAATCAAGAAATAATGTAGAATCTGATGGACGTATGTGTAAAATAAAAAGCAATTCTGCATTTTTCATTAATTGGAAGACACTTATCACTAGAAATCTATTTCTCTATGGAGAAATTTACGTGTCTTTATTTCTGGAACTTCTTGTACTCTTTTACTGTATTTCTAAGTTCCAAGCTTGAGAAGAGGTTTATTCAAATACTGGTGAAAGTATATTCAAATCGAGGAAGCATTAGCAGTACAAAGTGGTATTCTATGTAAATTCTAGTGAGGTCTGAAAGACAACATATGCTTCAAATGTTTCCAAGGGCAGCAATACCTGGCAGGCATGAGGGCCAAAAACTCCTCCCCTGATGGCCAGTCTTTTAATCTATACACCACTGACTCCCCTTTATCAGATTTAGGTCTCTCTGTGGGTCACATACACAAGAATGCAAATAACATTTAGTCCACAGAGTCAACCAGCAAAATAATATTCAGCAAATTAGAATA